AATAAAAGTTTATTTTTAAGTTGTTATGTAATTTTGTCATAACAGTTATAATGCAATAGTCTATGAATAGTAGCGGTCATAACATAATGATCTTATCGTATGCTATGATCTGTGATCATAGCTCATAGAACATAGATATGTATTAATATATTGTAACATTCATTTGTTTCATTCATTGCCTCCCTGTGTCTGACACATGGCATATTATGGGGGTCCCTTATATTATGCCATCCCTAATGACTGTCATTCATTTTTGCATCAATATTTTTATGGCAATTGTTTTCTAACTTTTATTTTTTACAATTGTTTAACTCACTTCAATTTATTTATTACTCAAGTAGTGATAAGAAATTTAAAGATTCACATATTCACATACAGTGTATTACTTTGAAGTTAAATGTTTATTTTGAAGTATTAAGTAATAAATACTATATAAACTTATTGAAAACTTAATCCTTTATATAATATTTTATTGGTTTTTTATTGAAAGTTAAGATTTGAGAGATCCGTTGGTGATTCCCTCACATGTATTCCTCCCATGACTTAAGAATTATATCTCAAATCGATTTCATGTCATATTATGTATCGATTGATTCGTTGATACTATTATATGTAATAACACTAAAAAAGATCTCTAAATAATGTAATTGCATGACTTCTCATAGTTTATTTCAATTAAGAAAAGCGCAATATTTATCTCATAAAATAACATAATTTATAAAATTGTTTGACTATTAGTTTCAACAAAAACAAAAACCTAATGAAACAAATGAAGGGCAGGTTAACAAGAAATCTACAGTTCCTCGAGAATCTGGAGATTCCAATGATTTGATGGTTCGTTTCAAATATTTATTACTTTTTATGGTTTGAAATGTAAATGCAAAACATTTTAAAATAATTGGCAAATATATTATCAGTTGGAAGAAGTGGAGGATCTGTTCGGTGGGTTGTCTTCAGCCAAGTATGACTTACAACGGCGACAACTGGGAGAACAACGCCGTCAAGAATATCAGCTTTTCCTGGAACAGGTGTTTAAATATTGATGTCATGTATTAGTTTTATTATAATTAAATTTCATTAGAAATCAAAACTGGAAACAGAACTTCAAAATCAAAGGAAAAAATCAAAAAGAGTTGTAAAAGTGGATCAGAATTATAAAGAATTATTAAATAAGAAACGAAATGAAGAGCGAAAACACAACGAACGCAATGGAGTGGAGGGCATGGATATCGACGACTTTGATCCTGTAGAGGACAACCATACAAATGGATATACAGTGCCAATTGTGGGCCAATTTTATTGCTCCAACAATAAGTTTAGTCCCGATTTCATAACACCCAGGAGTCGATTATTAGCCACACATTCGAGTCGATTAAAGGCACAAAAATATAGGGAAGAACTCCGCAAACAGTGCGAAGAAAGACAACGGATTAAGGATGAGGAGAGAGAACGCATCCGTCTTGAGGAGGAAGAACTCGAAC